CTTATAATAATTTCGGTTCGATTTTGGTTTGCAAAATTAAAACCAAATTTTTTTGGTTAATTCAAAATCAGTTTTGATTTTAAACCGAAACCGGTTTTACCCACCCCTACTAAGCAGTGGTTTATGGCCACACAAATTTGTTTTAAGGTCAAGTAAATATATAATAAACTTATTTGATTTAATTAATTTTATTAATTTATAATTAGTTAAAGTGTGTAAAAATATTAATATATAAGTTGAATTTAAATTATTAAATGATAAATATTAATTATTTTATAAAATTAATAATTAATAATTATAATTATTAACTACTTTTAAGTATTAAACTAAACATATTTTCGTGACCCTTGCAAATGCTTGTGCGGCCATAGGACAACCATGCCCGAGGAACTACTGTGTTAAAATAAGGTTAAAGGATCAAGTTGATACATATCTTAGACTTTGGGTCCCAAACAGGCAATTTAGCTGCTTCACTTCCCATCCTTTCCCTTCTTCCCGGCTTCCGCTCCTTTGTCTCTCCGCCATCGTCGAACGGCGTCACGAACGCACGCAGTTGTTGCCCGTATTCATATGTCCTCAGCATTGCCTGTACAGCTGTACTTCTTATTCTTTCCTCCTCTGAACCTGCGCGGCTCTCTGTTTCTCTCGACAACATTTCCGGCCGTCGCCACCGTCGTCTCTCCTCTGTCGCTTATTCGCTTGCATTCTGCTGACTTTATCTTTGTGCACTCCATCATGCACAGTAAGGCATGATCGTTCTGTGTTTGGTAATTTTACACTGTAATCCCATGAGTAGTGGAGATGGAAGTATTTTATTGGCCGTTTTGATAATTACTTCCTTCAAGATGCCATTTTTGCTATAGACATCTGGAAAATCCACTTCAAGTTGTCGATTATGCTTCCTCTATTACCATTTATGACGGTGATTGATGTTGAAAATCAGTAATTTCATAGTTTGCTCTATAATGATGTGATTAAAATGGTTGTGGAATGATTACAATTTTTTAAGGAAATTTAGGATTAAAATTTTCCAAATTTCATAAATTTAATTTTGGGGACAAAGATTCTGAGTGGATAGTTGATTTTAATGAATGATGTGATTGTGAGCAACATTTAAGCTGATACAGACACTGGTTGCAAATCTTGTTGATTTTCCTTTTGCTTGTTTTCTTTAGATGGCATCTCATGGGGGCAGTTTGCTACTCTCCATAATCTTGTATACATGGAACTCGAAATAGAGCAGGTAATTCAAAGGCCTTCTATTGCATGACACATTAAAACCAAGCCAACTCCTCTGTAATTATCTGTGCTTGTTTAATATTTTTCTCCTAATTCATCAGGCAAAACTTGCAATGGAGTGAATGGACAGCCTGGAAGTGCCAGTTGGGTGAGCATTAAGATGACTTGAGGTTTTATCAATTAAAAGTTTCTCCACCGTTTCTGTGCAATTTTTAGAAAGTTATGGCAAGATGAAAGTATACCACTTTTTGCGTTTATCTAACATTTGAAATCATTTGGGCCTGGAGTATGTCTTCAAAGTGCTTCTCGGGGGTCAATGTCTTTAAAGTGCTTCTCGGGGGTCATCAGAGATAACCTCTCCCATATAAAATAAAGAGGTAATATCAAAACTTAGGGGAGCATGGGCCTCAATGAGTCACGGAATAGCTGTAGCTAGCACATGAGATGAGTCCGTCTTCTAGCAAGCTAATGCCAAGTTGGAAAGAAGAAAGTTTACCACTTTTTACATTTATCTTTCTTATATTTGAAATCATTTTTCTCTCAAATTATATTGTATGCCCACTTACTAATTGTTTTCCGTAAACGTTCAGCTAGCGTATTATAACTTTCTTAGTTTTACAATTTGGGTCCACTGAGTGATGTGACTATAGCTAGACTTGGTATGGAAGCCAGAAACCTTCTTTCCACCAATAAGTTCTTTTGTGATATTGAAAAAATTTCAAACAAGGATTAAGCTATAAGAGACAGCCAATATTCTAAAGTAATCTGCTTCTTTTTTATTTTATTTTTATAATATGCTTCTTTTGTGGGTGCTTGGCCTTTAACTGAGCTATAATTTTTATCAGCTGTGTGTTTGTCCAGGATGGGAAGGTTATAGCCTCTTGAAGAAATCAAACTACTGAGACACGTAATGTAAATTCAGAGTCAGTATTTTTCTTTTCTTTTCTCTCATTTTTCATTGAATTCCTTAATAAATTTATTAGGTGCTCCTCTATCTCTTAGTACACAAGTTGGTTGTGCTAGCAAGCATAAATTCAAAGATACTAATATCCACATACTTATATCCCACCTTTAGATTTTTTAGCCTAATCCATGAGTCTAAAGCTTTTATAAAAAGCAAGTCAGACGCTTATTAGAGAAATAACAGAACCAGACACTTGTACCCCAGCCAGAGAAACTTAGGTCTAAAATATTGACAATACCAGTGTCAGGATGATATCAGGTGCCTCTAGTGCATGAGGTGAGTTTGAGCATTCTGGATATAATATGTTAGCGTAAATTAATGAGTACTGATTGTAATTTTGTTATTTCAGATGCATGGGAACAGCTTACTAGCTTTGTGTTGATTGGTCTGTGTGTCGAGTTGTGTAGTGTAAAGATTGTTAACTGTGTCAATGGATATTTCTTTGAGGTTGACATTTATTTGGACAAATACTGACACCTTTCTTCTTCTTGGAACTATGTCAACAACAAACAACTGAAAAGACCTGCTTTTCACACTTAATGAAGCCACTATATGTCTATTCTTTATCAAAGTTTAATGATGTTATTTGGGTTCATCTTCTATCCTTTTCTTGTGGTTCAAGTCTAGCCCAGAATATGGGGATAGACGCCATTAATATTTTATTGATGCAGGCCTCTAGACATGCAGAGATGGAAGCAATTGACATTCTTCTGGAGATCCACTTTCAGCATCAGAAGTTGCTGCGAAATTTTCAAATTGTGTCGTATGTTACATGTGAACCATGCATTATGTGTGCTGCAGCTTTTGTCAATTCTAGGTATGTTTTTCTTTCAGTTATCATACTCCACTCCAAGATTCTTTCAATTAGTATAAGTAGCCCACTAAGTGACTCTGGATTTCTACCCCAAACTATAGGTATAAAGGAAGTTTATTATGGCCGTTCAAATGATAAATTTGGAGGATGTGGATCAATTTTGTCATTGCATTCAAGTTGCTCTGAGCAACTCATCAGGTTTATTTTTGAACTCTTCATGGCATCCAAATCCTGATTGATAGTTTTATTGCCATCACTTTGGTCCTCCTCAAACTGAATTTCATCTCCTTGATGGTTAAAAGGAAGAGATGAAGTTTTTGTACAACAAGATATCAAAAGGAAAATAAGCAACCAATCCTGCTTGTCAAATGTTTTTTAAAAAATTAACCAACATCCCTCTATCTATTCTTTGGGAAAAGAATGAGAACAAAATCTCATGCCTAAAATTTTGTGGGGGTACATGTTTCTTTTTATGTTATATCTCTTGCAGGCTGAGTAACCTGCCCTTCCCACTCTGCCCAACCTTGAATATTGGAGCATGTCCTAGTTTATCCTAAATCCATATATTCTTTTCACTGATAGATTTGACCATTCTGTATCTCTATGACATTATGCAACCTTTTTTTTTTTTCAAAAATGATGATCTTGATGGTCAAAATTTCTTTCTTACATCTTAATTGATTTCTTAGTACATTATGCCATTCAGGAAAATAGGTTGTGTTTAACTTTTCCTATTTTGCAGTGGTGTTGTTCCACCAGAAACGGGTTTCTACGAACGGGTAACCCTAATGGCTAATGGTATGTAATTTCATCATGTTATCAAATCTTCCAATCTTTTGTAGAAGAAGTTGGTCATTAGTTTCTCAACATTGTTTCTATCAACAGTCTATGATGTCATTGGATCATATTATTCTATAGCATATTTAAGTTTTAACCACAAACTGCTAGTGTGGTAAATTGGGAGCTGTCTAGGAGGAAAAATTGAAGCATTTGTGTATCTTCTTCATTGGCAGACTTTTAACTTTCTGCTTTCTGTTTTCTCATGTGTTTCAGCTCCAAAATCTCACAGGCCTCTGGTTGGAAAGGCAGCAGATTGAAATATGCTTACATATGATTGTATCCAGGCCTGCGGTTGTGAACCCTGGTTTGCCTTAGTCCTTAGTATTGGTTTTTGTATTACCACTCTTCATTTTTTCACGTTTGGGTAGGTAGATTAGAAACTCGAGATAAGACAATGTGCCAAAAAGGCAAGAAAAATGATCATCTGAAAAGTATTTCTATGTGCATTTGTGTCCAGAACGGTGTATAATCTGGCTATTTATTGCATTTGAATGCAAATTCAGGTATTCACAAATCATGAAACTTTTGTATAGTTTAAAGGCAGTGTGATGAAAGAGGTGATTGAATTTGGGATGGAAGATTCCAAATTCAAATCCTTATTCCTGCTTCCCTGACACAGTTGGGTTATAAGAACAATGTCCTTGCATTTGAAATCTGAATTGCTTAGTTTGTATGAGGCCAAAAATTGGATTCCATATTCCTTAAAGACAGCTTGCATATAACAATAAATAGAGACTAACATACATATTTTGTTTTCAACTGTTTATCTCCTGTTCAGAAACCTTTTCTGTTTTTCTCAAAATTTGAATATGAAATCTAACTTCCACTTGTTCATATTTAGGCACCCTCTACAATTCAAATTTTTTTTTTAAAAAAAAAAGTGGGTGAAAATGTAGTAAGTTATTGGAGAAAAATCTTAACGTAAACAAGTAGAATTGGTCTGGCGGCACCTGATACAGATTAAATTGGAAGAAGTTTAGTGATTACGGTTTCTCGTTAATGTCGTTAAGTCGTTATTAGGAAGCGAAGATTAAAGATACAAATGCCAAAAGGTCGTTATTAAGTTATAAAGATTAAATATTCAAAATGGTATAGTAATACAAATGATCACTTATCTTGTATGTCCAAAATTGTGACCAATAGCCTAAAAAGGAATAATTTTTGTCTCTAAAATTTATTGTTATGAGAGTATTTTTTTTCTTAGTACATATATTTAACATTATGAGAGTATAATTGATAAAAACACTATATCCTTAATCAGCAAGATTTTTAATATCTAAAGAGTGTAAATCACAGGATTTTTCTCTTTTACTTTCCATAGAAAGTACAGGGCAAGATTTGAACACACAAGAAAAAATTTTCTGAATTTTTTTAATAATATTAATTAACTCTTTGAAATGGGATATTAATAGTTAAAAACTTGAAAATAAAATAAAAATAATAAATTAATTAACTTATATAACCGGTAGCCGATGGGCAGAGATAGGCAGACTACCATAAAAACTGAAATATAGATGGACATTGGAGCAAAAATGAACAGGGAGACACAGAGTATATAGGAAGAGGGAAAGATTTTTGTCTTTCTTAGAGAGGGAGGGAAAAGGAGAAGTGGGTTGTGCTTGGGCATTTGAAATTCCGTGCTATTGTGGCTAACTGCATGTTTTTTTTATCAAAAGCTAACCACTTTGTTTGTTAGGCAGATAGAGGGAGAGGGTGTTGCTTCTGGGTCTTCAAGGGTCTCTCAATGCAACGTCTCTTGAGGTGGTTTCCTGATCCTTGAACGTTTTGAGATGAATTTTGTGATTTTTCTTGAATTTTCTTGATTGTCTAATCAGTGTTTGAATTTGTTTCAAGCGTTTTATGGCTTTCTGATTTTAGTTTATTTCTATCTGTCTTCTGTTTTAGGGTTTCATGAATTGGCAAATTTGGTTGCATGTGATTTTGTGTTTTATGTGGTGCTGTTAATTGGCTTCTTGCCTCTTGGTACATAATTTTAGTGGATGAACTGATATCCATGAGATAGTTTAACTTTTATCTGCTTAAGGACATACAAATCCCAGGTCTGACTTGGTTCTAGGGCTTTTTGAATTAGCAGAATGGATTGCATGTGATTTTGCTTCTCTTGACATGTTGCTAATTGGCCTCTTGGTTCAGAACTCTAGTGGATATAGTGAAATTCATAAAGTAATTTTTCTTTGAATAGGGAATGTGGGTTGAGGCACAATTCTGATAACACCAGCCCAGGAAAAGGAAAAGGAATTTCTAGTGTGCATTCACTTGGTTGATATTGCTTAGTTTCTTCAAAGTTGGGGCTCTGTTTAGACTTTAGATTACCAAAAGCAATCATTAAACTGCACATGGGAATTGTGATTGTTTAGTTAGCCAATTAAATATTTATCAATATTTCTTCTGTTTTTTTCCCTTCCAAATATTTCGTTGTGGATTAATCTTCACCAGTTTCTTTGCTTTCCTGATAGTATAGAATTGATTAGATAACAGTATGATTCTAATAAATAGTTTAGCTTGTGGTTCTATTAGTTCTTATCTCCTCCAATTTTGGGAATATCAAGGAGGAATGTTTCCCACTTTTAATCTGCTTATTAATCTTTTAGTCATGTTTTAAACCATGTACCTAATATCTAATACAATGCCTAATGATTCTTATCATCTAGGAAAGGTGTCATTTTTCTGAATCATTCCTAAATATATTTTTGGTGTTTTTTCTAGCTTTCTTGTAATATTTTTTATTTGCCTTTGTTCTGGAACCTTTTTGTTATTCTGATCATCTGATTCTTAGCTAGCTCCTCATATCTAGGTCTTATTTCCATGGTTACTTAAGTCATGCTTGTCAAGCACACACAGGCCAATTTAGAATGTAAGTTTAATATCAGCAGGGAACTTCTCTTGGAGAAACTAATACTATCTGGTTCAAGGTGTCAGCTTCACCTATATTGTGCCTGATATTTCTTGCACCATAAAGAACTGGATCCTATAGTTGGAATTGGCTTTATTTGGTACCAAATGTGATGGGAACTTTATGAATTCTTAGTGCTGATTAAGGAAATTTAACACTTGCCTGTAAAGAAAAGAAAAGAAAAGAAAAAGAAAAAGAAATTAAATGTATTAAGAATTATGTTCTATTTCATACATTTCTTGGTTTGTTTTCATCTCCATCTTTTTTTTGGTAAATTTAATGAGGAAAATTGAATTTGTCTAGTAGGAGGAACATCTGACTTCTGTCCTACTTCCTTTATATCAACCTTTGATCAGGAAGCTTCATGCAGTAAACACATCATGGCTTCAACACATACAATCCCAGATAACAATTGAAGTGTAAGAGAGGTCAGCGCCTCATTCAGGAGTCAAAAGAACACATCCTGATTTTCGTTGGTGTATTTCAGGTAAAAATTCTTAAACAGAGTTTCCTTCATACTTCTATTGTTGAAGCTGCTGTATCTTATGTGTCTGACCCTGAGAAATCAGGTCTTTTTATGATACGATGCCTTGTATTGAAACTTTGCAGATGTGTCCAAAATGCAACGATCGTCCTCAAAGGGACTGCACAGAAGCTGTTTCTGTTTCAAACAAAAAGGAGACTCACTATTCATGCACCCTAGACTTTCAAAGAACTTGTCAACAATCAGTTGTCAGCACAATGTCTGAAAATCCTGTGCCTACTTTTGTATACAGCCGAAGGAAAGACAAGGGTAATTCTGCTGCAGCTCTCAGTACAATGTCTGAAATTCCTGTACCTACTTTTGTATACAGCCGAAGGAAAGAAAAGGGTAATTCTGCTGCAGCTGTTAGTACATTGTCTGAAAATCCAGTGCCTACTTTTGTATACAGCCGAAGGAAAAAAAAGGGTAATTCTGCTGGCACTTTCTCTGCAGCAGATGTTCCTGAAAACTCAAAGAGAAGTGATTGTCTTTCTGTTGTCAGTTCTGATGTTCTTTCAATCACAGCCAATGAGATACATGGAGCTCTCCTAGTTGAACCTGAAACTGAAGGTGTAGGACCTAGTGGGATGCCTCCTTTACACACTGGACAGCCATTCTTATTAAAGACGGTACTTAATGAGGGATGTTTAGTTGTGGAGGACCAAGGTTCTGATAATGTACTCAAAACTTTGCAGAAAACCGTGGAGGTTGACAGTATACATGATAGTTGTTCATCATCAAAATCAAACATAGAACTTGCATTAGATTCCCTTAAGGGTGAAATAGATGACAATGGTGATTGCTCCTCAAGCACAATTGCTCTGGAGTTCAGAAGGGATGGACTATCAGAGAGAGATATATGCATCTCTATGCTGAGATGTGCAGAGCTACTTCAACCTAGTGGGACTGCTTTAGTTGGAGACATTGGGACTGGCAGTGGTAGCAGCTATACCAGGGCATGCAAAATTTGTGCTTGTCAGGAATCTGCACCAAATATGCTAATTTGTGATAATTGTGAAAATGCATTTCATGTGCCTTGTTGCAACCCCCCAATAAAGGAAATACCAGAAGATGAGTGGTTGTGTCATTCATGTTTGAGAAAAAAGCAAAAGTTTCTCAAGGAGACAGATGGCAGTTGTAGAGAAGTGAAAAACAATCTGATATCATTGATGTTGAGAGATGGTGAGCCTTATAAGAGTAGTGTTGCAGTTGGTAAAGGTTTTCAAGCAGAAGTGCCAGAATGGTCAGGACCAATTAATAAGTATGTTCTATGTCTAACCTTCATCTTTTTAAATTTCAAAGGTTAAATGCCAATTTTGGTCCCTCAACTTTAGGGTTTTGCACAGTTTTCATCCCACAACTATTTTATGCACTTTTTTGGTCCCTCAACTCTAAAAAATGCACTTATTCAGTCCTTCCATCAGTTAGTCCATTAAGTCTATCCAAATATGCATATTTTTAGTCCCTAAAAACCAATTTTAAAAGTGGATGCCTTGTTAAGATGGATAATTTTATTAACTTCTAAAAAGAATTTTAATATTTGGGCTGCAAATTATAAAGAAAAATTTGAAAGCTGTTCCTTTTATACCGTTATGTTCTTATGTCATCTGGTTTTGACTATCTTTACCTTGCCAGTCAATTTGTACTTCCTTATTTCCCTTGTCCAAAAAATCGATAAAAGGAAAAAAGAGCTTACAACATGTGCAAATAATTCAATGTATGGAAGAGAGTAAAAGATATTGCCATAAGTCTCTTTGTTATGACATTAGTAGTGACATTTTCATCTGTTTTGATTTTGAAGCAGTGATGTTGATAGAATTGGTGAACCACTGGAAATAGATTCTTCAGACTATAGTAATTTGCATGTAAGGCTTCAACTCCTTTGATACTCTGTTACTTATCACTTAGCTGTTGAAAGTTTGGAATGAAGTAACACAGCTTTCTTTATAGGATCTGAATCACATCATGCTTCCTAAATCCAACTCAATTGGGAACTGGCTTCAGTGCAGAGCTGTCATAGAAGGCATAGGAAAAGATGTTGATGGAACAATCTGTGGAAAGTGGCACAGGTATCATCTGCTTTTAATGGTGATCTAGCTTTTGTTGCTTTTAGGCTTGTATTGCTTGTGAGGGCATCAAGTAGTGAGCTGTGAAGGTTAAGATTTTATGGTTTAGTTGGAGAGCTGTTTTTCTCTTAAAAAAATAAAATGCATCTTCATTTTTATGTTTGATTGGAGGTTTCCATTGAGTTTATATCACTATTAATGTTGAGGATGGAGCATAGGATTTGTGTTCAGATGTTTAACTGATGTTCTGGAAAAGGCAAGGAATATAACATGCCAAGTTTGGATTTGGATGTTTTAATTAGTTAATATGATTGCTGTATGGATTTGTTAGGATATGCTCCATCTACCATATGGGTTTTGTTAGTATACACTCCATCTACCATATGGGTTTGGATAAGACATGCTTCATCTACTTATGGGTTTTGATAGGATACACTCCATCTACTGTATGGGTTTTGTTAGTATATGCTCCTTCTACCATGTGGGTTTTGTTAGTATATGCTCCATCTATGCTCCATCTGCCACAAGGGTTTTGTTTGTATGTTTGTTAATTTCCTATTGACTTAGATATGCTTCTTCAAAATTCACTTGTTATTAACACTAGTGATGAGGAACAAGAAGAAGCTATTCAATAGTTATTTAGATTATTTAGAATTCTTAAGTAATTATTTTTATTCAAGTGTAGTTATCATTAGTTTTCCTACTTTTATTAGGATTAGGTCTTTTATCAAGAGTCTTAAGTCCTAGTTAAATTAGAAATTTTAAATTTCAAGTTATAGACTAATTAGTATAGGAGTTCTAGTAGGAGTCTTAGTAGTTTCTATATAAATATGCATGTAGTTTCTTTCATTATACAGTTAATAATATTCAGAATTTTCCAGCAAGTTTTGCTCTTGATTGTGTGATGCAATCTTGGTTGTGTGATGCAACTAGCCTTAGGTGTGATGCTTAAGGGTTTTATCCTCTTTAGGTGTGATGCCTAAAGAAAACTAGGTGTGACTCCTAGTCTTTTCTATCCTTCTCGTTGTCTATTTTCTATTTCTTCCTCTTTTCTATCCTAAACAAACCCTATTTTACTGTTCACGCATACTATTTACAGCATATATTTGCCTAAACAGCCTCTAAATCCCCAAGCCCACCATTCCCTCTAGCCTGTCCTACATCAACTAGCTTAAGTAATAGGTCTGCTAGTCTCTAAATTTATGCAGATGTAACTTCCATCACTTATTGATCATACAAGATGTTTAATGACTATTTGATAAATAGGGCTCCCCTTTATGAAGAGCAAACCGATGACTGGGACTGCTTCAGTGCTATCTTTTGGGATCCATACCATGCTGATTGTGCTGCACCTCAGGTGAGAACCATGCTGGTTATGTTTTGATTTTCTGGTTGAAATTTCAGACTTCAACCGTTGAAGTAGGTATCTTACATCATGGAGCATACTATCTTGTTGAGCTATGGATTTTAGACCCATCTAATTGGCCAATCCTATATTTTGGAGGTGTAATCATTTTAAATTTTAATTAGTCTGTCCTAGCAACGGAACTAAGCTGAGAGGTATCATTAGGCTTTGCTTGAGAACTCAAAAAATGTGCTTTGGCATTTTACCAAGTCCTCTATAATTGAAATACGGTTACCTGTTAATTACTTAGCCTTCAATTCAATACATAAAAGCTGCAAAAGCCGTGTGCTATTTTAAAGTTTGGTATCTGTATCAAATAAACCTTGCATCTGCTCCCAAAGGTATTTTCTCTATCTCCATTAACATGTTATCCTTGCATTGGGCTTGTATCAGTTTCACATTATTTGTTCCATAATTTGATCTTACTTGTTCGACAGTTGAATTGGTTCTCCCAAACCCCACGCCCCTTCTCTCTTTTTCCTATTTAAAATAACTTGACTGGGATTATCAGGGGCTTGATTCACTGTTCCAGTGATAGATGGGCCATTTGATTGGATTTGTAGTAGTCTGGAGTGGAAATAATCTAAGTATTGTTGTTGTCCACTTAATTGGCCTGGTCAAATATAGTGTGAGTAAAGGGATGCATATTTCTCTTGGCTTCTGATCCAATATCACATCGTCACAGGCTTTTTTGTAATCAGCCATGATGGATATCTGTTATATACTGTAACAAGAAACCTGAAAGTCAAGCAGATTGGGATGTCTTTTTATTTCTTTACCCAATACTGTTACTCTAGTTATATGGTTATAACAAAATGTCTTGCTCCATTTCTTTCCCTCAGGAGCTGGAAACAGATCAGGTTTTGAAGCAACTTAAATATGTGGAGGCGGTATGTATTTGATGCCCTCATTTATTTGGTAAAATTTTCTTCACAAACATTAGTTGCAAATGTAATGGTTACCAAGGTTCAGTAAACTGTTCAATGGGATGTTACCCTGGAGCCATTTATTATTCTTGTCATTCTATGTTCCAGGATACTTTTAAGGTTGTTAACATTTTTACATCCTTTGCAGATGAGATCTCAGATATCTGTTAAACGGCAAAAACTAAGTCACGGCAAGAACCATACTTGACAAGTTCACATAAATGTGACAAGAAAGTGGTTGCAGACCGCTTGAAATTTTGGTGGGTACCATGTAACTACATAGCATAGGTAATGTAAGATGTTTTACATTTGAAATACTCATAGGTCTGGATTTTGCAATTAGATATCTTCCTAAATAGTTGTAATTTTGCTGAATTGACAAGGTGGCTTCATGCACCATGTTTCATGGTTACTCAATTATGCTTTGCTGAATTATCTTTTTGACTAGTCACTACCATCAAAAAGAAAACAATCTTTCTTGGTGATTGGTAACTGGGGTGACAATTTTTTCCTCTTCTGGGGACAAAGGTTTTCAGGCATGGGTTGGTAAGTATGATGGCTTTAGGATTTGTTCAAGGTCAATATGTGTGCATTTAGGCTTTAATCAAATGGTAGTGTCCAAGAGAATTTTAAAAAAATCATGGAAATGAGATTAATTTCATTTTCATCTAATTCCAAATACAAAGAAAGAGAGGTTCAGTCAAAGGATAAAACAGGATCAAACCTTCTCCTTCAGCTCTGCAATGGGAACATAAATAACAGATTCTTGATGGAGTAAATGGCGTTTATGCAACTTCTTAGTTTTGCCAACTCCATGTCTTAATAATGTCTGCTTCATATTCTCTAATCTAAGCTTGGCCTTACAAAGTCTCTCCATCTCTGCTTCAAATTCTTGTAATCCATCTCGGGCTACTAGGTTGACCCTCTTCTTTTTCTTCTCTCTCTTCTTCGCCTTTAAAAGCTTCTTCAATATCACATCATCTCCAAACTCCTTCATTAAGGCAAGTTAAACATACATCAAATATTTATATATACAAAATCAAGTCTCAAATTGTTTATGCATAAATAAGCAAAGTGAGTTATGGCAAGTAACGTGTGTAATTATCAAGTCCAAATTTGTTTATGCATGACAAACGACAAGTTACCAAGACTCACTACAACCCCTATTCACACACTCTGTATAGCGGCCACTATAGCGGCTATAGCATCCCTAGTTATTTTCCACCATGTTCTAGTTCTTTAATCACTACAGGGAATAAGCAAAAAGAAAGGAGCCCCAGTAAAACATTGGTGAGCTGAGTTAGAAGTTAGAACCAGAATTTGGCTAGAGCATACCTTATTGCTATTTGCAGGTGAATCTCCATTATTTGTATTTGTCTTTAAGGTGCTCTCGAATGGCTGGGGACTCTTTCTTATCTTTTCCGGAGTCATTGGTGCATGTAACACGGTTTCTTGAGATGCATCTTCTAATGCCTTGGCATCTGCAGTTTGCGTTTTTCCAGCTTCCAGTCCAGATTTGCTGGGAGTAGCAGAGCTATGGAGTTGTTTTGTTCCCCCAACCTGATAAAAGTGAAGCGTAAGATACAATTTTCTCAACATAGAAAATTCGTTTAGTCATATTCTTAACTCACAAGCATCATGTGGACCCTGAAAGATTGACTCTCGTCATGGGTCAGGCCATGATAACGTAGACAAAAAATTTGCAATAAAGAGAATCTTCGCTTAAGTCCTAAACAAAAACTGTTATATTTGTAAAATGGCAATTGCAAATGCCTAGGAGAGATTGATCAATCTTCTTTGAACAAGAACAAATATGTACCATTGTCTAGAACTGTACAGGGTGTTCATGAGAGTATTTCTTACAAGAGAGAGAGAGAGAGGCTAAGGTGAAGATACAAAGGCCAAGTAACAAACTGTAAATGTTCAATAGAGGTTTGTCCATTAAGAACAAGAAAGAAACAAAAATAAAAGAACTGATCATATGTATTTGTGAGTGGTGTACATGGGTAGGAGGTCACCTTTCTACTTTTCAGTGCCAAGTAACGAGCGTTTTTGAACCATTTGTTTACCTGGAAAATGAAACTTGAGCAATGAATAGGAAGGTGGAAGAAACGAAGAAAGAAAAGCTAATAATTTGAAAAGGAAATCTCTAGAGTATGCAATATTGGATGTTGTTCAACACTTCTTAAGTATGTGTTTATTTCCACCATTTTGCAGTTCCTACCAGGTCCATGTGTCATCATGATTCTTCCATCCCGCTATTACCACCTAGTCATTCTACTCCAACATTAATCCACATTATAGATCTCGTGCTGCTAGATCACATTTGAACCCAAGACTTACCAGGGCCTCATAATGTCCTTAATCATTAGACCAATTCCTCATTGGTACTAGATCCCAATAACCAATATAATTTCAGCTTCACCCAGGAACATGCACAAATAGAGTTTATTATTATTATTATTATTTCAAAAAGAGTAGCAATTATTGTTCCCAAGATGAGCTCAATGTCCTAGGTACCAAGTGCACTAGTAGATCAAGGATTCAAGATAGTTTTCTCCATGTGCATTAGTTGTTACCTTTTCAGGTTCAAGACCCAACTCTTGTGAAAGACTATCCCGGATAGTTCTAGAAGGAAGTTCATTCTCAGCAAACACCTGGCGGAGTTTCTGGTTGGACAAACACAGAAAAGCATCAAATAAGCACCATACAAGAGAGGGAGAAACTGGTGATAATATATATATATATATATATATTATATTGGTGGAGGAAAGAGATGAGAGGGATTCACTTTCATGCTTAGTGTTAACTGCTAAGAAATCAATCATCCCCTACCTCCACTGCTGCAGGAGGAAGTCTGAATATTGGCCTTCTGCTTTTAGGGTCTGAAGGGAGTTCTTCCCTTACTTCTTCAATTTCAACATTTGAGCATTTTGTCTCACTTTCATAAAGAGTCATAAGGGTGTTAACAGCATCTGACTCTTTTTCTCTGCGCTTTCTTCTACCAGGACCCCAGTCTTCATCCTCACTGACTTGCTCATAAGGAGGAGCATCCTTTCCAAACATTTCCTATCACATAACAAAATTAATTTCACTGAAACTTAAATTTTACAATGTAAATTTAAATCACTCAAATGGCCCATAAGTTGCTTTGAGACCAACTGATCAACTGACTTTTTATCTAACTACCAGTTGATACTCACAGCATATAACTTCTTGTAATCAACTGCACTTCTCCTCCTACGGCCACATAGAACTTCCCCATCACTGGTTTCATCAGAAACCACTCCACTGTCAGCTGAGTGATTTTCAAAATCCGGGCCTTTCCTCTCACACCTGCCAGATCCTGAAAAAACTTCACCATCAAAAGACCAGCTCAAGCTTGTTGAACTGCCAGTATCATCAGATGCATCATTATCAGTGCCAGCTCCACTTGAGCCATGACTGTTTTCTCTTCTCTCTGGATCATAATCATCATCTTCTGAATCATCTGATGGCCATTCCTCCTCTGTATTTAATAATGTAACGCTACCATCAGGAAAAGCAGCTTCTTCCTTAAAAATATCCTTTACCACAAAAATTTTTCATTAGTCTGATTGATCAAGCAGTGAATCAAACTCAACCAAATCTCAGGAGAGTGGTAATGAATGCTGCAAAATAAGATTAACCTGCCAATTGCTGTCAACAGAGAAGTGTGTTCCAATATGTGCATTCATTGCTTCTATAATTTCCATCTTGCACTCACAAAATTTGCAAAACCAGCCCTGTTCTCCCGGAGGTACTGGGTATAATCAATTGAACTTGTCTTATTAAGAAGCCATCTTATTTATAATTCAAAACAACATATTCACAAGTAACATGAGAAAAATTAAAGAGAACTTACTATTTTCAGTGTCCAGTGGAGGATCAAGGCATTTCTGATGGAAGGCACGGTTGCATGTTCCATCACATAGTACAATATCATTATCTGGAAAAGCTTCGCGCAACTTGCACTTTGCACAAAAAATCTAAAATTAAAAACAACAGAAAAATTACAAATGAAAATTTGATTTCACTAAAGCAAAACACAGTTATTATTTAGCAAACTAGATAATGCATGTTTACATGTTCGTGGTGAACAGATCCATCAGATGCAATAACTGAGTCTTCGATGCTTCCTACTGAACTAAGTAAATCCAACTGGTGAATTGCATCACGTATTCCAAGCTTGCACTTCAGTATTTGCTTTTTGGCTCTCAGCAATTCCTTTTCTGGCCTTATCTTTTCCCGACTGTGGTGGAAGAAAATAACCAAAGTAAGCCATCTTATGCATGAAACTTGAAGGGAAGCTAATTCTACTGCAAAAAGTACTACTTAATTCAAATTTCCCTCAAATGTTCCCTTTAACTTTTGAGAAGGCCATTTATCATAAACAAACTAGGGAACTCCATAAAGGATATGTTTTGATCATGCTTCTAATAACATTGAGGAAGAACACACAGTATGATGTTTTACTTCATATTGTGTTTTATGGAAGATAAGTAAAAGTTATCTGGCAAGTAAACCCATTTAAGGACACAGAAGCATACAAGCCTCGTCCCAGCAACTGCACAGTGCATAACAAACGAACAAATGAATAAACAAACTAAAAAAAAAAAAATAAAGAAGTGTTTCACGCTGAATGCCTTGATTATAAGCCCAAAAAGAGAAAGAATAAGATAGCCCCTCAATCCTTCAATAAAGTTAGAGACATTTCATAGGTTTTCAGAATCCTCAAGAGTCTGATCGCATGCTCCCTTGACTGTGATTTCTTACAGATTTGTTGTTTTGAAGCCTTATATCCTTAAGCTCCACTTCAACAAAGAAATAAAAAGTTTGAAGTCTAGATCTTAATCTTTTCTTCTTAACTTTTCAAATTCTAGCACCATTTGCAAAACCCCTTATCTAAGAAAGGTAAACAACATTAAGTGATATCAAGATTTCATTAAAGAGAATGATTTTACTTGGATCGATACCACTAGCTGGGTTTTCCTACAATCAGAGCCCTCATAAATCAAGTATTAACACCTAATTGCTATTTTAAAAAAGAAATCCCTATAGTCCAAATTAATAATTCTTGCCACCACAAACCAATTTCTCTCAGTTTAGTTTAACCATCCTTTGTTGTCCCATACCTATTCTCACTTTCTTTTCATTTTCATTTAATTACCATCTTAAAGTTCTACTAGAGAATTGAACATTCAACAGATTCTTCAATCAACTAGTCCTCATATGAGAACCGGAAAATGACTCTAATTCACAGAAAAAGATCATTTTGTAGCTAGCAACTTTTCATCGATGGAAAGATACAAGAAAAAAGCTCCATACCTTTGACCTTTCCATCCTTCTCCAGAGTAAGCATCAATAAGATTCTGCTCCAGCTTCATTTTAATTAAAAGATACCTTGTTCTCCTTTGCAACCTCGAAGCTTCATCTAGCTCCACTTTATCCTTTTGCCTCTTCCTCTTCTTCCTTAGTTTTCTAATTTTAACATCTTTTTTGACATTTTCCTCATTCCCATCAGAATTACCACGCAAATCATTTTCTTGAACCTTTACAGGATCCTGCTTCTTGGTAGACTTTTTCTTATGTGTTTTATGCAAAATTGCCTTATTATTCCCTTTTCTACAACTAGAGCCATCATTCCTAGCCACCTTGGACGAAGAACCAGCACCTTTCCTCTTCAATAGGGTTGAACGAATTTTCTTGACATGAGATTTTGCTTTATGCACTTTGCTATTGGATATTTTGCTTCCTTTCTTAAACCATAATGCTGCAATTGTTTGAGATCCACCTCGTATCTTAGAAGAACCGGATTTTTCAGATTCCTGGTCAGTTACTTTCTTTCCAGTACCATGCATACTTATCTTGTCCTACAATACTGAAATTCTTTTGTCAAAATTAATAACTAAATGTTTCAAAAACATCCAAAAAAAAAATAAAAAAATAGGGAGATAATATAACTTTGAGACTACTACTCACTAAAATGCTTAAACAAAGAAAACATTAAACCCCATGATCACCAAGAAACTCAACACATGTCCATCTTTCGTTTAGCATCATTGGAATCAATACAGAAAAGGAGACAACTTTACAAGTACCCAGAAGACACTTTTTCCAGAAATCCAGAGAAAACCAGAGCAAGAACTTGAATTGAAATGTAATAATACATAATCAAGAAGCAGAAAAAAGAAAGAGAAGATAAAGGTGAGAGCTTTACCTGAGGGAAGAAGAGAAGACTGAAGTGAGATCTTGAAATTGGAAAAGTATCAATCAAAAAAAAAAAAAGTAAAGTGGGTTGAATTTGATTGATTGAATTCGTTCGAATTTCGGGAAGTATAGAAATTTAGGGACTGAGCAATTGGGTCTCAGTTGCCGCCGATCAATTTGGGTTGTTCCCAATGCGCCACCGCCAACGGTCAGGTGTCTCTTTCTCTCCGCCGAGTTTGAGTTTTCGTTTTCGTTTTCGTGTCTCTCTCGGCTTCCTCCTTCTGTTCTCTGTCAAATTATTTTCACCTGCATTTTTCGTTTGGTTAAAACATCAATTTGGTCTCTGAACTATTGTATAGACTCTAAATTGGTCTCTAAACTAAAAAAATTCTTGATTTGATCCTTAAGCTATTTACGAGAACCCTAATTTGGTCCCTATTATTTATTAATTTAACTTAAATTGGTCCTTTCGTATAAAAAATGGTTGATGTATCCGTTATTTAACTGTAAAAAATAGTAATTTAATTATAAAAAATAGTAACTTAACGGTTACATATCACATTAATAACAAAATACGTCAGTAATTTTTCATGCAAAATGATCAACTTGGGATAAATTGATAAATAGTAGGGACCGAATTGGGGATCGTGCAAAAGTTTAAAGACCAAATTAAAAATATTTTTAGTTTAAGGATCAAATTAGAGGTCTATATAATAATTTAGGGACCAAATTAGAGATTTTACCTTTTTGCTTAGGACAACCCTGACTGGCATCAAAATATCAAATTACCCTTAATGAATTACCATAACGTGGAGTTGTAATAAGGGTATTTTGATAAATTTATTTATATTTTAAATTATATTTTTATTAAGTAATTTA